CTGTTAAAACAAAACTGAACAACAAGAAGCCTGAAGAGCCCACAAGCAAATGAAAATATGCTCGCCCAGCCAGTGTGGCTCTGTGGTTGAGCATCGACCTATGAACCAGGAGATTGTGGTTCAATTCCCCATCAGGGCACATGCCCAGGCTGCAGGCTTGATCCCCAGCGTGGGGAGTGCAGGAGGCAACCGATCAATGATTCTCTCTCATCATTGATGTTTCTCTCCCTCTCCCTTCCTCTCTCTGAAATCAATCAAAATATATTTTAAAAATATGATCAAAGTGCCCGCAGGGCTGTGCTCCTTCCTGAGGTTCTGGGGCATGCTGACCTTAAAAATAACAGTTATTTTAGCAGTAAAAATGGGTTAATTTGGAACAGCAAGCTATAGCAAAAGCCATAGGCAAGTCCAACAAACAAAGGAGAGGAATATTATTTTAGAGAAAATAGCCTAACGTGGCCTGAAGATTGTAATGTGGTCTTGAGACTGTCTGAATGGTACATGTGATTGGACCAGGTAAGGCCTCTATACAATGTTTAAGATTTGGGGGTTAGGGATGGAGAGTTTCTTGGGTGTGGGGCCCAAGACAAGCCTGGTAAGAAAGTTTCTGGTTCATTATACTGCCACCTACCCATCTGGAGTGACCTGCCTCTTTCTTCGATCTCTACTGGTCCTCTGCATAAGGGGTGGGTTTGGGATCACATCGCGGAAATCCCCAAGAAAGTTTCAAGCCTACCATCACTGAACACTATCCAGGACTGCTTTGCATATTTTAAAATTTGGGGCCATGTGTGTTAGAGTCTACATATCTTTCTGCAATTCTTATTTCTGAGGTTTTCCTGCCCTGGACCACACTTACTCGTCCTATATAATAAAAGGCTAATATGCAAATCGACCGAACAGCAGAATGACCAGTTGCTATGATGGGCACTGACCACCAGGGGGCAGATGCTCAATGCAGGAGCTGACCCCTGGTGGTCAGTGCACTCCCACAGGGGGAGTGCTGCTCAGCCAGAAGCCCTGAGCTGGGTTTACAGCTGGCGAGCACAGCGATGGTGGCGGGAGCCTCTCCCGCCTCCACAGCAGCACTAAGGATGTCCAACTGCTGGCTTAGGCCCTGAAGGGAGTGGGCCTAAGCCAGTAGTAGAACATCCCCCAAGGGCTCCCAGACTGTGAGAGGGCGCAGGCTGGGCTGAGGGACCGTGCCCTCCCCCCCCCAGTGCACGGATTTTGTGCACTGGGCCTCTAGTGTCCAATAAACACTCCAGTGGACTGATCTATTCCTGCTGGTGGACATTAGGAAGTGCTACCTTTGCGTGATTACAAACACTGCTGCAAGTAACGTTGGGTGCTGGTCTCTTCGTGTTTCCCTTGGGTGTGCATGGGAGAGTGAAACAGTCAGGTGATATGTTATGTGTACCTTCACCTGTCCCAGGTATGCTGTATGTGGCCTGGATGTTGTGTCCAAAGAGGGTGACTAAATAAAACTGCACCTGTTATAGGCACCCCAAATACCAGCAAAGGTGTTATCAGACACCCTCTGAGTTGAAGGGAGAGGGCGGTTCTTGTCAATCTCATAGGAAAGAATTCAAATGAGTAACTCCAGACAATTGCGTTGTAGTGAAGCCAATTTCTTAAAGAAGTACAGCAAGACCATTTAGTAAAGAAGCAAGGCAAGCAAATCTGTTAGACTACATCCGGCTAGGAGCACAGATGGGCTTCTCAGCTAGCCCAAGAAGCCAGGGTGGCGGGGATTCAAAGGGTTTTATACCCTTCTGTCCATAGGTTTAAAATTTTTTTTAAATTCCTTTGCCAAATATCTTGGCTCAGAGTAACCCTCAAGATTTCCCTTTTACTTTGTTATGGCTTTCCCAGAATTTATGAGAAGCATCTGGAATTTTATCTTGACGGGCCCCAAGACTGCTGGCTTCTCTGTTTAAACAGTGAGATGAAAACTCCCTCTTCTTTCTCCCCCAAAACCCCCCCTCAACCCCGCCACCAATGAATGAGAGTTCCGGTGGCTCCACAATCCCACCAGCATTTGATGGTGTCAGCGTTCTGGATTTGGGCTATTCTAATAGGTATGAAGTGGTATCTCGTTGTTGTTTTAATTTGCAATTCCCTGATGACATATGATGTGGAGCATCTTTTCATATGTTTACTTACCATCTGTGTATCTTGTTTGGTGAGATATCTGTTTAGACCTTTGGCCCATTTTAAAATCAGATTGTTTATTCTTTCACCAGTACCAACTGTCTTGTTTACCATAGCTTCATAGTAAGTTCTCCAACATTCTCAGTCACTATTGCTTCAGCACATGTCACATGCTTGGTAGCTTCCCACAGTTCTTGGGTATTCTGGTCTGTTTGTTTCTTTTGTTTTATTTTCAGTCTCCATGTCTTTGCTCGTCATTTTAGGAAGTTGCTGTTGTCATACCCTGAATGAAGCCCGGAGATTCTTTCCTCAGCCGTGTCCAGTTTGAACAAGGAACTCCTTAAGCTTTATGTCTGTTACAGTGTTTGTTTTGTTTTTCAGCATTTCTTTTTTATTCTTTCTCAAGATTCCCATCTCTTCGCTTATATGATCCTTATCTAATTCTAATGCTTGTTCAGTCTCTTCAAATTGTTTTGTGCCCTTTTACTCTGCCTTGTAATTTTTTTGAGAGAGAGAGGAAGGGAGAGAGAAACAGAAACATCGATGTGAGAGAGAAGTATAGATTGGCTAACCAGGGACCAAACTCAAAAAACCTAGGCATGTGCCCAGACCGGTAATGGAACCCACCACCTTTGGGTGCACAGGATGGACACTCCAACCAACTGAGCCACCCTGGCCAGGGCTGCCGTGTAATCTTTCTAGAAAGGCAGATGTGATGTGCTGGGCGAAAGGGACTGTGGTAAACAGGCCTTTACAAATGAAGAGGTGAAAGGTCAGGGCAAGGCGGTGCTCTGTGGTCCTGCCCCTGGTGAGCCTGAGCCCGAGCTTCTCTGTCTTCCCCCTTCGGTGGGTCAGGATGGCTAGAGTGGCCTGGAGTTCCCTCTGTCCCTTACCCCACGTGGAAGGCTAAAGGGGCTGAAGCCCGGCCAGCATGGCTCAGTGGTTGAGCGTCAACCTATGAGCCAGGAGGTCATGGTTTGATTCCTGATCAGGGCATATGCCTGGGTTGCAGGCTTGGTCCCCAGTGTGGGGTGTGCAGGGGGCAGCCGATCAATGATTCTCATCATTGATGTTTCTATCCCTCTTTCTCTCTCCCTAACTCTCTCTCTGAAATCAATGAAAACATATTTAAAAAAAAAAACTATTTTAAAAATAATCCTATATAATAAAAGGCTAATATGCAAATTGACTCAACGGCAGAACGAACAGTCGCTATGATATGCACTGACCACCAGAGGGCAGATGCTCAACACAGGAGCTGCCCCCTGGTGGTCAGTGCACTCCCACATGGGGAGCACCACTCAGCCAGAAGCCGGGCTCACAGCTGGAGGTGGTGGGAGCCTCTCCCACCTCTGGGGCAGTTGGACATCACCCGAGGGCTCCCGGACTACGAGAGGCCGGGCTGAGAGACCCCTGGGTGCACGAATTTCGTGCACTGGGCCTCTAGTAATAATAATAAAAAGAGGGACTGATAACTTCTAAGCTCCTCACTGGAAGCCAAGTGTATCTCTTGATAACATCTTCCTGAGTTGGCAGCTGTCTTCCTACCCTGTGTTGTCATCCTTTGTGCACTGACACCCAGGAGCGGGGTTGGCACTGTCGGCTGAGACCTGTTCTCCTGCTGAATCTGAACACTTTCACAGAACAGCAACATCAGACTCACCATCTGTGACCATAATGGACTGACAAAAACAAGACCATTCCAAACACATGACTGAACACAGACAAAGGTGGGCATTGTCCAGACCACAAAAGTGACCTAATGTTCCTCTGTCCTGGCTAGTGTGAGTGACAGGCTTCTAGCAGTACCCAAACCAGAGCAAAGCCCTCTCCTTAAACCTTTCTCCAAATCTCCTCTCGCTGGCAGGCCTCACAGTTCCCCAGGGTCTCACCCGCTGGGTGGGTGAGTGACGGGCGGCGGTCCTGCGTCGTAGGCGGGGCAGTGGCCCTTGGGCTGCAGGGGGACCACAAGCGCTGTGTCTATCAGAACATTTCCCCTTTGGCAGGAGAGAACTCCCACCTTCAGCAGGACTCGGAATTCCCCGAGGATTGTCTGCGTGCAAAAAGCAGAGAATCATTTCTCTAAGTCCCATCTCTCAGTTTTCCTTCAGATCGTCCGGAGACCGTGAGCAGCTTCAGCGATGAAGAACCTGACTGCCGTTACCCGAGGAAGGCCTCATGCCGAGGACACTCTGGACCAAAGGAGGAGCGAAGGTTCCCCTGACCATGCTAAGGATGCCCTCTATGGTGCGGACCTGGGAGACTCTGAAGAGACATCTGAACTGCGTACAAACTCTTCCTCGGGCACCCCCTTTTCTTCAGTCAAGTGCAATGATAGCGGAGCCATAGTGAAGCCCCAGCTGCCGCCAAGACAGGATCCAACTGTGCCAGCGAGACTGGCCTACATCGGTGCCTCCAGGGAGGATTCTCGAGGCAGATCCTTGTAGGCAGGTGACTGGGTTGTAGGCGGGTGTCTGCGATTACACCTGCTGCCAGGACACATAGGCCAGATCCTGACTTGCGGTAGGAAAGTGGAATTGAAAGCTGCCAGGGCACATCCAAAGGCAGAGCCAGTTTTGCATCTTGCCGCTGCCTATTGCAAAGCTGTCTGTTGCCTCATTGTGAAATTTGGTGCCGCCCTCCTTTGTTAACCAGCAGGCTAACAGGGAAGGAGGTCTTCCTGGGGGCACCCCCTGGAGGGACAGCACGCTGGCGCCTCACCTGGCCAGTGGGTCATGCCACGTGACCCTTTCTGGGCCTGCCTGTCATGGCAAGTCTGGGTGTGAAGCTGACAGCTTTCGGACCTTCGCCTGCCTGAGTGGGGCAGAGGAGGCCTGTGGCCCTCACTACAGCTGCAGCTCCCACTGCCCCATGACTGCAGGACCCCGGAATCTGCCAAAGACAACTTGGTATCTGGCTTAGGTGGGTTTGCAGCACATGGGGGACAGGGGGCTGGTTGGGCTTCATTCAACAGCATCACAGACTATAGGTTTAATCACCTTCCGTAGAACTGGGCCCCAAAGGACGCAGCGAGTTGTCTAGGCCGGGGCCGGGGGACTCCCTGTAGGTCCGGAAGGTCAATAGCTGAGCTTCACTGAGAGCTTCCCCCAGCTGCCCAAACGCTTGTGGTTGCTGGCACCCTTAGTGTCCCAGTCACTTTTCATGGTGCTTCCAAGACCAAAAGAAATATCCAACGGTTCTACTTAGGAACTACTTTAGGTCTAAATAACTGATAAGTATGTACGTGTTAATAACTTATTAGTCACTTAGAAAGTAGAATTCACATCATTAGAAAGAAAACATAGTGCTTTTATATCATTCTCTTAATAATCACCAGTACTTACTGATCGCCCGTGAGCCCTGGCCAGCCCCTCAGACCTCAACATCAGCCCGCTCACCCCAGCATCATTTCCTGTTCCTTGGTGATTTTCACTTTTTATCCTCTAAACTACAGGAAATCCAGTGTCTCAAAGGCACGATGTGAAAGACATGTGGAGTGACCTAATGTTGAAACCGGGAACCACCTGGTCCTCGGAACTTGCTCTGAAACGTATGGGACCACTGCTTCCCTCTAAAATGTAGAAAATAGAGAGTATCCCGGCGCCTTGTGAGTGTCAGACAGGCGGGGACCTCGGGGCCACCTGCTCAGGGGTTTCACACTTGCCTTTCTCTCACAGATACACTTGACAGGGAAGGAACCTGCGGCTGCCACAGGCAGACCCCTGGCCTGCAGTCACAAGCCTGGCTCCAGCGCCCCCTGGAGGCCGAGAGAACAAAACTCAAGTGAGGGCCGTGGGGGCGAGGAGGGTAGAACTAGGAGACCTGAGGCTGCTAGAGCGCCACGTGAAAGACATGTGGAGTGACCTAATGTGGAAACCGAGAACCACCTGGACCTCGGAACTTCCTCAGAAAAGTATGGGACCACTGCTTCCCTCTAAAATGTGGAGAATAGAGAATATCCCGGGCGCCTTGTGAGTGTCGGACAGGCGGGGACCTGGGGGCCACCTGCTCAGGGGCTTCACACTTGCCTTTCTCTCACAGATACACTTGACAGGGAAGGAACCTGTGGCTGCACAGGCAGACCCCTGGCCTGCAGTCACAAGCCTGGCTCCAGCGCCCCCTGGAGGCCGAGAGAACAAAACTCAAGTGAGGGCCGTGGGGGCGAGGAGGGTAGAACTAGGAGACCTGAGGCTGCTAGAGCGGGTGTGGACAGGGCCTGGCCTTCGGAGGGTGGAGGGGGACGCGGCGCATGAGGAATGGTGCGGCCCCAGCAGAGGAACTGTTGGGGTGCAGTTGGGGACTCCATGACCCTACTGTGGCCCCCTTGCCAGTCCTCACCAGGCGTTTAAAGCCTTCAGAGTGGGGTCTCAGTGGCCTCTCCCATAAGGGGCGGGTAGAGAAAGTGGCCCCTCAGGCTGTAGGGGGTCTGAATCTCTCATGGGCATTGAGGCTGAAGCCGGTAGAGGGCAGTGGCCACGTGTACCTGGGCTCGGACAACCATACCGCTGGCCCTCACTGGGCCTAGGGTGACCCTGACGCGGCTTAGTAGTGGACCCTACTCCCCAGGAGCCTCTTGGGGAGCTGTGGGCAGAAATGCCCCAACAGATGAGAAAAGGATGGGGTGGGGGCGGTGCTGAAGAAGACTACGGAGGGGGCAGTGGTACCTGTGTCTCTGGAATCTGTCCCATCCTCTAGCCGTCAGTCTCTGCCCAGGTCCCCGCTTCTTTCTCCTGGGCGGTGGGGGTGGTCCTGGCAAAACCCCGCGGCTCCCGGGAGGGGCGGGACTCCCAGGAGGGGCCTACCTGGTGGGCGGGGCCTATGGGGCACCAACCTGGTGGGCGGGACTCCCTGGAGGGGCCAACCTGGTGAGCGGGGCCTATGGGGCGCCAACCTGGTGGGCGGGACACCCTGGAGGGGCCAACCTGGTGGGCGGGGCCTAGGGAGGTCAACCTGGTGGGCGGGACTCCCTGGAGGGGCCAACCTGGTGGGCGGGGTCTGTGGGGCGTCAACCTGGTGGGCGGGGCCTAGGAGACCTTCCCCACCTGGGGGAAGGCAAGGCCTCTGACCACAGTACCCCAGAAGCTGGGTCAGCCACTCACACCCTGGGGGCTCTACACTCTCCCACGGCCTGAGACTTCCGGTCAGGACAATACAAAATCTCTTTATTGTTCATGTTGTAGAAAAAGTCGTGCCTCTTGGTGGGCCACGGGGATAGGATGAGCAAAGCGCATGACAGGCCCCACCCAGACCTGTAGCTGAGAGCTGGGGTAGGACAGGGGAGAAGGGGAGCGGCGAGGGGACCCTGGCCCTGCTCTGGGGCTGGGGCTGGGGCACGTGCTGGGAGGCGGCCGGCCTGGGGAGTGGGTCATGGCGAGCGGCCCCTCAAGGGGTGCGGTCGGCTGGTCCCACCCCACCTAGGAGGAGGCTGAGGAGCCGAGCCCAAGCTCAAGTGGTCCCGGTTCTGGGAGGGGGTATCTCCAACCTGGGGAGGGGGGCTGGAGTTCTTCCTGAAGATAGCGCAGGAATCAGAGCCCCTCACCCCCCCCCAAAAAAAACGCGATCAACCGAGGCCGGGGGAGGCTGTGCCCCTCACTGCTCCTCTGGCCCGTCGCCTCCCTGAGCCT